ATTACCATTTAATAAGTAGCAGGATAGAATAGGATAAACAACGGTGTGATTGTTACTCGTGGTAAAAATTGGAAAACACACATATATGGTTGAATAATAAATCAGGAGGTAAGTCATTGCTTACACAACACACACACACAATGAGAGGAATGTTCCCCTTTTATAGCTCACTTCAAATTGAGAATGAATTAGCATTCAAGCATTGCAGATAGTAATTATTTTCTGATAAAAACGGGAGATGAAGGAAATGGTTTATTTTGATAAAAGTCAAATCTGAACGAAGAATATTCTTTTCAATAATAATTTCTCATCTTCAGGTTCGTACAATTATAAAGTTTAATATATTTGTTTTCGTTACAATAATAATGGCCAGTTATGCGCCAGTTACTCTTTTTTTTTTTTACTTATGGGGTGTCAAAATAAATGGTCTTATTTGTGCGACAAGCGTGCTTTGGGCTGAAATCGATTGCAAAGTATTGTAAAATGGGAGACAGTGGTGGTGATTAGTCGTAATGATAGATTTGTAGAGTGTGGGGTAGGAAAAACTGACAAGTCAGTTCAAGGTTATAAAAGGTGTCAGGGTTGAGTGGCTAGTACAAAGTGGTCTGTGTAAGACTGCAATTAGAGCTTCACAATGAAATAACCAATGTGTGAAATGAAACAGGTGGAGGCAAATATTGAGAAAAGAGATAATGTCACTAATAATCAGTCCGGATAGTATTCAGAGAATGTTTGCATGAAGGGCATAAATTATGACGAATAATAATAACAATTGTAATAATAAGCAAAGAGAAAAAACCAAAAGGGTTAAGGGGAAGAAGCACTCTTGGTGAAAAGAAAAATCATCAATCCAAGTTTGGCCACGGTAGGAACAACGTCTGAACATGTTCTTTTGCATACAAAGTTCCGATTTAGTCGATCTTATTGTGCCAGCTTCAGTTATATATGTAGGAGACGTAAGCGAAGTGTACGTGATAGAGACTTCGGAATTCGGTATATAACACTGAAAGCTGTGTTGACATCGATGCGATGTCCAGTACTGACCAAGTGTGACAGGATCGATCCTTTTATGCACTTAATTTCCTTCCCCCCTGCTGAACCAACCTGGTAAATGTTCTCGAACCCGTAGACGAACCTGCCTAATAAATATTATATTTTATAATTGTAAGAATTTGAATAGAAGAAATTATTGAAAACAATATTCTTCGTTCAGATTGACTTTTAATTCATGATATGGGATTATTTCACACTATTTAATCTTATTTTGATAATCACACACAGTGATGATACAGCGGTATTAACAACTGGATGACAAGGTTTCGAGCATAAATTATTGCTAAACATAATCGTATATATATATATTTTTTAAGTATTACTTTTGTAGGGATTTTGTTTGATTGGCTGGAGGACTTTATAATGGGCTGACATCAGTTACGAAACCATTGGAAAACCACCACTAGAGCCGTTTCGTCCTTGTTTGAGACTCTTCACAGTACGAACGGACACTGTGGGGGTTGAATCCAGGACCTCTTTGTTACAAGGCGAGCTCGTATACCCGATGCTCACTAGCGACTGGCCCTATTCAGGCAGTTACCTAGGGTTCTAGTAGGAAGCCGTGACCAGTAGGGTACAGCAGGTCGAAGGTGAGGACAGTTACTAATCGAAGAAGATTTTGTGAAGGGGTCAGGCTATGTCATGATTTAACAGAAATTGGAATTTATGGGCTGGCCATTAGATCGGGTCCCAGTGACTTAATGGTCTACTAGCTAGCTCGCCTTGTAACCAGAAGGTTCTGGCCTGGAACCCTGACGGTGGGTGAGTAGTGATGAATAGTCCCAGAGTAGAATGACGAAACAGCTATCTCAGTTCGCCAGTGGTGGTTTTTTAGTAGTTCTCTAATTGATACCGTTACCGCTTTCCATATCTCCGGTACAGGCGATATGTTGTGTCATTCCGATTACTGCACATATGCGGTGTTGAATCGATAAACAGAGATTCAGTGATTAACTTCTCCCCCTTTCCAATTAACTATATCATATTTTAATGCTGTCACCCTGTCCAACTCATAAAGGTGAGTGCAGTGCAGTGGCTGAGCTCTATCTTTTCTAGGTTATGTAATTTAGCAGGGTCAGTTATTCCAGGTCTAGATTAATTTCTATGTTCCAAAAATCTAGTTGGCCCTGATCTGCAACTGTCTCAGAGTCAGACTTTATCGGCTTAAGGCCCCAATAGATCCAATTAGGAAAAATAACATTATTTACCAAATACTATGTAATGACTGTGAGGTAAATATATGTGTAGAAATTGGGCACTGTGGTAGTAAGTAATTCCATATTAGTTTGTTTATTAGATGTATCACACAGTGAGTGAAACATTATTATTTACTGGATGACGTTTCGAACAAAATTTATTGTTCATAATCACATCATCAATTATAATCACATGACTTTGAAACTTGAGTTTTATAGTTTTCTTTGTCCTCTCCTGTTTGTCTTCGTCGGGGAAGTAAAATTTGCCAGATATCTGGGACAGGTCTTGAATCATTCCTATTACAAGTATTCGCTTCAGTTGATTCGATAAACAAAGCTTCTGTTATCAATCTCTCCCCCCAACCTGTGACATTAGATTTTAAAACTGTCATCTTATCCCATCCTATTGTATGGCTAGTTGTGTGTAACTGCATGTAGTGCTATAACTGAACTATTCCATACAAGGAAGGAACCTTGGAAGACTTACGCAGAATTCTTAACAAG